ATGCTGGGCAGAATACACAAAATCGGGTCTTAGCCATTTTTACTCATTTTTGAGTTTTGAGTCTCGGATTTGGGCGATTTCAAGGGGGATTTTCATGACTTTTAACTGGGTAAGTGTTCTTTATCATAAAGTTATTATATTTCACAAATCCATGTCTAAATTCATCATTTATTTCGGATTTAGATTGAAGAAATTGGAATTTTTGTAAAACTTTCCAAAAACAAAAAATTTAGATTCGAAGGTCCATTTGATATCGGAATTGGACAAATTTGGTATGGTTGAACTCATATCGGAACGGGTGTTCGGATTTCGTGAGTTTTTCTAGGATTTGAGAGGTGGGTCCCACTGCCGAATATTTTAATGAATTTCGGATTTTTATCCGAAAAAATTATAAATTCATATGGAATTAATTCCTATGATTTGTATTGAATATATTGAATTGTTTGTGAATAGATTTAAAGCTTTCGGAGGAAAATTTAAAAGGAAAAGGTGTGGTTGAATAATTGATTGGAATTTGCAAAGCGAGGTAAGTGTCGGGGTTAACCTTGACTTGAGGGAATAGAACCCTTAAATTATTTGTTATGTGAATTGCATATGAACGACGTATAGGCAAGGTGACGAATGTCTATACGTCGTCAAATTAATTGTTTGCCTCCTTACTTGAAAAATCATAAATTGTTTTAAATTATAAATTAATTATTATAATAATTATTTCTCTCCTATTCTTTGTAAAATATTAATTCTTGAATTCATGCATTAATTGTTACATGCTATTTGAATTATGTGTTTTAAATTGTTATTTGACATTTAGCATATTAAATATTAAACTACCTAATGATTTTCATAATAAATTATTATTTATCATTGTTTGGTTCATAAATAAATTATAATTTTTGTGTGCCTTGATGCTTAATAATTTCTCATTGGACGTGGTATTTATTGGGGTAAGTTTTATTATATTTATGAGTTGTTTAAAATTATCTTGGGGGAACGGGTTGCACGCCGCAACGGAAATGAAAGTATATATATATATTGGGGGATCGGATTGCACGCCGCAATAGACTTATTTAAACGTCAATATTGGGGGATCGGATTGCACGCCGCAATAGACTTGTTTAAAAGTCAATATTGGGGGATTGGATTGCACGCCGCAACAGACTTATTTAAAAGTCTATATATATATACTTGATTGAAATAAATATATGACAGACTTGATTAAAAGGAATATATAGGGAGAGCGGGTTGTACGCTGCAACAGAATTGAATGTGAATATATTGTGAGAGCGGGTTGCACGCTGCAACAGATTTGGGTGAAATAATAATGGATTAGGACTACTGAGTTGGCTTCAATTATTATAAATGAGTTACCTGATTTATTTATATTATTTGTTGTTGTTATTAATATTGCGTACAAGTTAATGTAAGTGAACCGCCTTAGCCTCGTCACTACTTCGTCGAGGTTAGGCTCAGCACTTACCAGTACATGGGGTCCATTGTACTGATACTACACTCTTCACTTCTTGTGCAGATTATGGAGCTGGTCCCAGCGGCGTACCATAGTTTTGCTCGGATTTCAGCTACTCGAACGAGACTTGAGGTATAACGGCATGACGTCCGCAGTTCTGAAGTCCCCGTCTATTGTACTTTAGTTGTGTGTTTATTTCCAGACAGCTTTATATTATTCAAACCTTTATTTGTATTTATTCTAGAAGCTCGTGCACTTGTGACACCAATTCTGGGATGATATTTAGACATCGTTATTATTATGAATTATTTCAAAATTGCTTCCGCATTTGCTTCCTTGTTATTAATAAACTTAAAATTATTTTAAAAATGAATAATGTTATTTTAACGTTGGCTTGCCTAGTCGGGTCGTGACACTATATTAGTGGAAACCAATTTTGCAAAGTCTAAGGTCACCACGAGGAGACCTATTAAGTGGGAAGAAATTAATTTTCCAACTACTTGGACTTTGGATTCAGTTATATCCCCAAGTCAAATAACAAATGTTGTCACTAATACTGAATATTCTCATATTACTCAAAATTCGGATGGTAGAATTTGCATTCAATTTGATGATAGTAGTTCCACTTATAATAGGCAGTCATTTTCTAATAATAAACTTTTGCCTGCTATTAATCCTAATTATAATAGACATTCATTTTCTAATCATAGACTGTTGCCTGCTATTCAACATATTTCTAATGTTGAACCAGTCTATGGACCAGCCCGAAATCGTGCAGCGTCTTTACACACTATTTCTGCTAAAACTTGTGATAAGCCTGTTGAAAGGGTTAAAATTAACCCCCAAACAAATATTGTTTAGGATAATGATAATATTTCTGATAAGGATATTCCTTCTGCATCCGAGATGGATTTTGACCCAAATGAAGTTTAAATGATTCCTCACTAAATTGATTTTAGTCTAGGGTCACAGGCAAGAAAATATGTTCAAAAGGATTTTTTTAGTGATAAATGGAACCGGTTTAAAAAATCCCACTATAGCCAATATTAGACGCATCTGTCTCAATAATCTTTTGCCATGCTGGATTAGCAAGAGTTAAACAAGGTAAAGACTTAACACATTGTTTAATATTTTTAACCAAAGTAGTATGACTATCAATCCAAGGTTTTTTATAATCCCTTTTTAGCCTGTCGTATAAAGGGGCCAAATCACGAGATAATTTTTTTATAAAATGGGGATATATAATTTAAACTTCCCAAAAATCTTTGTAATTGAATTCTGTCAGTAATAACATCAGAAAATTTTGATGCAAAATCAATCGATCTTTGAATAGGAGTAATTTTTTCTTGACAAATATTATGTCCTAAAAATCGAACATCTTTTTGGAATAAACTCACTTTTGGTTTGGAAATAACTAAACCATTTTGTATAACAATTTTTTAAAAAAATATCAAGATGCTTAATATGAATTTCAAATGTTTTAGAAAATACTAATATGTCATCAATATAAATGATGATAAAATCAAAATATGGATTAAAAATATCATTCATTATTTTCTGAAATTCAGAAGGGGCATTTTTCAAACCAAAAGGCATAACATTCCATTTATATTGCTCGAATAGAAAATTAAAAGCAGTTCTATAAGTATGCTCTTTAAATATCTGAATCTGCCAATAACCAGATTTTAAATCAAACTTTGAAAATATATTGGCATCATATAATCTTGATAACAAATCCTTTTTGTTGGTTTATAATTTATAACCAATCTAGGAAACGCCATGTTCCTTTTCTACAACATTATTTACATAAAAAGCGGTACAAGACCAAGGAGATTTTGAAGGTTTTATCAAACCTTTTTGTAACAAATTATCAATTTCTTTTAATAATAATAATAATAATAATAATAATAATAATAATAATAATAATAATAATAATAATAATAATAATAATAATAATAATAATAATAATAATTCTGATCAGACCATATTAGTGGAAACAAATTTTGCAAAGTCTATGGTCACCACGAGGAGACCTATTAAGTGGGAAGAAATTAATTTTCCAACTTCATGGACTTTGGATTCGGTTATATCCCCCAATCAGATAACTAATGCTGTCAGTAATACTGAGTATTCTCATATTACTCAAAATTCGGATGGAAGGATTTGCATTCAGTTTGATGATAATAGTTCCACTTATAGTAGATAGTCATTTTCTAATAATAGACTGTTGTCTGCTACTAGTTCTAATTATAATAGACATTTCTTTACCAATCGTAGACTGTTACCTGATATTCAACACATTTCTCCTGTTGAACCAGTCTATGGACCAGCTAGAAATCGTGCTGCATCTCTACACACAATTTCTACTAGAGTAGGTTATAAACCTGTTGAAAGGGTTAAAATAAACCCCAAGACAAATATTGTTCAGGATAGTGATAATATTTCTGATAAGGATATTCCTTCTGCGTCCGAGATGGATTTTTACCCAAATGATGTTTAAATGATTTCACACCATATTGATTTTAGTCAAGGGTCACAAGCTAGAGGTTATATTCAAAAAGAATATTTCAGTGATAAATGGAACCGGTTTAAAACTTGGTTTTTTAATATTTATAGTAAAGAGGATTTAAACAATATTTCTCAAGAATTTTATGAAACATGTGCTTTACATAATCAAATTATGTATTTTGTTCCTTGGTTTATAACCACGTATTTACCACTTTTTATAAAAGTTTTGGAAAGATCTTATAAAGACGGGAGTGGCAATATTACTAAAGCCATTTACCCTCCTCAAGCACCTTTTGTTTTACCGAATAATACAGGTATTACTTTTACTACATTTCAAAAATTTATTGATGAAGATATTGATGCAGTCAGCATCGCAGAAATTAATAAACTAATTTCTCAAAATAATTATTTGAGCTTATATGTTAAAGTTTTGGGAGAACAGATTAGTTTTCTTGATCAAAAACTTGATGATTTAACAGTTTTGATAAAAGTTTTGAGTACTAACAAGAAAATAACTGATATTGCCTTTACTTCAGGAAGCAAATCAGAATCTCAAATTGTTTTTACTCATGTTCAAAGACCTCCTGAGATTCAGGATTTTAAATTTAAATCTTTTAATGATTTAGAAGAACTTCTTGATAAAAAGTTATCCGGTTTGAATATCAAACCCATTGATTTATCAAATGATTTTGCTGATAAATTAGATTCTACTTTTGACTATAAAAATGATGTTTTGTCAGAGTTTAATAAACTCAAAGGATACCCCAAAAAGAATAAGTTTGTTAATAGCAGATATGCTGATAAACCCAGAATGCAAACTTATTATTACAATCGTCCTACTCCTCAAGATGTTTTAATAGAGGAACATGATTGAAATCAGACTAATACGTCTTACAGTGGTTCCGAAATTTTCGAATGGAATCTTGATGTATTAACTGATAGACAATTGACTATTCTTGTACATAGAATGCTTATGTATGCAACTATCTGTAAAAGTGTGAGAAATACAGATAGAAATATTTGCAAAATGATTGTTGCAGGTTTTACTGGCCAACTTCGTGGTTGGTGGGACAATTATTTGACTGTCAAAGAAAGAGCAATGGTTATTAATGCTCAAGCCACTGGCGAAGGAGTTGATAACTTAGGCATGGCCCTAGTGGCAAATAGAGAAGATGTTGTTTATACTCTTATTCTTACTATATTAGAACACTTCAACGATAGATTTACCAACCAGAATGAGACTGTCCGTACTCTCCTTAATGGCCTTAGATGTAAGACCTTAGGTGATTTTAGATGGTATAAAGACACTTTTATGAGTAGAGTGATGGAACTACCAGAAAATAAGCTCGATCATTGGAAAACTAAGTTTATAGATGGCCTTCCCTCTTTATTTGCTGAAAGAGTTAGGAAGATTTTAAGAGGTAGTTATGGTGAAATTCCATACAGAGACTATACTTATGGTAAGTTGATAGGAATTTGCACAGAGGAAGGGTTAAACTTGTGCAATGAATTAAGATTGTCCAGGCAGCTTAAAATGGATAAGCTTAAGGAAAGAAACCAATTAGGGGACTTTTTCACCCAGTTCGGTTTACCCGGGTTACCCGAGATTTCTACTCATAAGAAGAAGAAACATAAGTATCATAGATACCCCAACCAAGACAGTCCTTATAGGAGAAAGAGATCTAGATATAGATCCAAAGAAGAACGAGAAGCTAAGAAAGCCCATCGTAAGGCTACTAGATTTACCAAAAATAGGTCTAAGAGAGATCTAGCTGACATTAAGTGTTACAAGTGTGGTAAATTTGGCCATATAGCCCCGAATTGTAAGCTTCAAAAGCTGAAAACCTTAGGACTAGACGATGAGTTACGTGATAAGGTTTATGGTTTGTTATACACTTCTGGATCAGAATCTGATTATTATTCTGAGTCAGAATTCGAAGCTAAAATAGATTTACTTGACTTATCTGATAGTGATAAAAATGTTGATAATACTTGTACAACTTGCAAAGGTAATACATGTACTTGTGATGATGATGAATTTTATAAATTACAATCACAGTTTCAAGATTTGAACATGAAAACTATTAAATCTGATAATGTAATAGAACTTTTAAAAGAAGTTACTGATGAAAAATTTCGTGAAAAAATTATTAATTTGGCTGCTAGTTCAAGTTTTAATTCAAGTTCTAGTTTTTCAAAACCTTTTGAAAAAGAATTTGAATATTCCCCGCCTTATTATTTACTAGAGGTTAATAACCGTCTTTTAAATAAAAATACAACTCCAGCAAGAGATTCTTCTTTCGATGATTTAAAGGTTGAAATTGAACACTTGAAACGAGAGATCAAATCTCTTAAACAAAATCAAATGATTTGTGATCATAGGATTACTCAGATTAAGAAAATCAATTCTCCAGCTAAGAAATCTAATGATAAAAACAAAGGTATTTCTGAAAATGATATTGAAGAAAAACCTATTAGTTTTAATCCTAAACATAATATGGTTTTAGGAATGATGCAAATTATCATAAATGGTATATCAAATATACTATTCTCATTGATAATAGTTTTTCTATTACAAACATTGCCATGATTGACAGTGGAGCAGATGTTAGCTGCATTCAAGAAGGTTTAATACCTACGAAATATTTTCAAAAAACTACTCATATGGTTAGATCTGCATCCGGGCATGCTTTAGATATAAAGTATAAATTGCCTAATACGGGTATTTGTCAAAATAAATTATGTATTCCTCATTTCTTTTTCTTGGTTAAAAACCAGTTATACCCTCCTATTATACTTGGAACACCGTTTATTAACGCCATTTATCCTTTTACTAGCATAGACTCGAAAGGTTTTACTGCTACTTATAAGGATAAAGAGATAAGTTATACTTTTATTACAGATCCAGTAACTAGAGATATTAATGCTTTAATTGATATGAAGCAAAAACATGTTGATTCTTTGCAGTTAGAATTGTTTAGTATGAATATATTTGATACTTTGAATTCTACTAAAATACAGGAAAAGATCAAAATGATTTCCGAAAATATTGCTATTGATATTTGTGCAGAACATCCCAGTGCTTTTTGGAATAGAAAAAAGCATATTGTCACTCTGCCTTATGAAGATAATTTCTCTGAGGATGATATTCCTACTAAACCTCGACCTTGTCAGATGAACACGGAATTAGTGGAATTCTGCAAAAAAGAGATTGATAACTTGTTACAAAAGGGTTTGATAAAACCCTCAAAATCTCCTTGGTCTTGCACAGCTTTTTATGTTAATAACACAGCTGAAAAGGAACGTGGTATTCCTAGATTAGTCATTAATTATAAACCATTGAATAAATATTTGAAGTGGGTTAGGTATCCTATTCCCAATAAAAGAGATTTATTGTCAAGATTATATGATGCCAATATATTTTCAAAATTTGATTTAAAATCTGGATATTAGCAGATTCAAATATTTAAAGAGTATACTTATAGAACTGCTTTTAATGTTCCATTTGGGCAATGCCTTTTGGTTTGAAGAATGCCCCTTCTGAATTCCAAAAAATTATGAATGATATTTTCAACCCCTATCTAGACTTTATCATTGTTTATATCGATGACATTTTGGTATTTTCCAAAACACTTGAAATGCATATTAAGCATCTAGATATTTTCAAAAGAATTGATATACAAAATGGTTTGGTTATCTCAAAACAAAAAATGAGTTTATTCCAAACTAACATTCGATTATTAGGGCATTATATTTGTCTAGGAAAGATTACTTCTATTCAAAGATCGATCGATTTTGCTTCAAAATTTCCCGATGTTATTACTGATAGAACTTAGTTACAAAGATTTTTGGGAAGTTTAAATTATATATCACCTTTTTATAAAGATTTGCCGCGTGATTTAGCCCCCTTATATGATAAGGCTAAAAAAGGATTATAAAAACCCTTGGACTGATAGTCATACTGCTTTGGTTAAAAATATTAAGCAGCGTGTTAAATCTTTACCTTGCTTGACCCTTGCTAATCCTGCATGGCAAAAGATTATCGAGACAGATGCGTCTAATATTGGTTACGGAGGGATTTTGAAACAAATAAATCCCAATAATAATCATGAATATCTGATTAGATTCTACTCTGGTAAATGGTCTGAAGCCCAGAGAAAATATGCCACTGTGGCACATGAAATGTTAACCATAGTAAAATGTGTTTTAAAATTTCAAGACGATTTATACAATCAAAGGTTTTT